TTAGACTGGTCATTTGTTTTTATAAGTTTTTAAAAGATACTTATTTTCGTGTCTGCATTTAGAAATTAGTTCAGATTTTGTATTCAGTAAATTTTCTTGATCTAAATGAGTAATAATTTCAAATTTTTTTTGTAAACGTATACATTTTTTTAGAAGTTATAATGGGCAGGCGCAGTTTTTAAAATAGACCAGTTTAATTTAAAATTAATATTTTAGTTGCCAAATATATTTTGACAGCATAGTTTCTTTTGAGTATTTCTTATATTTAAAAGATTTATTTGTGGTTGGCATAACGTTTTTTCCATTTGCCCTTGGTTAAATATATTGTTTGTCAGGGTTGTTTTGTGAGGAAACAATGCATTTGTAAATAATATTTTTTGATAAGCATTTGCCATTCATAGGGCAGTCAGTTTTTGCTTGCAGTTACAATTTTCGGTATTATTTTTTTAAAAACTTCATTTTTATTAATCAATGCAAAATTATGGCCTTTTATAATTCTTTCAATATTTTTTGAACATCTATAGTTTACTTTAATAGTGTTTCTGTTAAAAATTTTGTGTATTTCATTAAAGGGAGGGAAATGTTTGTCTACTAATTTAAAAACGCTTTTTCGATATTTATTAAAACATTTTTTCTGAACGGGGGTTGAACCAAATTATATTTCTATTGCATTTTTTTGCAATTTTCGTTTCAAATTTTATCTCGAAATTTTTAAATCCGCTTTTTTTAAGAGCATCTTAAAAAAAGCTGATTTAAAAGTTTCGCGTTTAATACACGCGTTTGGAAAAGTTTAAAATATTTTTGTTAGAAGTGTTTTGATTTAGTCTACTGTTAATTGAAGTAGGAATTTGTTGTAAGATTTAAGGTGAATGACTTGAAATTATATTAATAATTAATAATAATATACGATAATTCATCATCATTACGCTTTTAATAAGGCCTATAAGAATATTTTCGAAAGGTTAAATGCGACATCAATAAAATTCACAATTTTTAAATTAATGCTTATTTCAATTTGGAAACCAATATTTTTGAGAGTTTGTAAAATATTTTTTCTAATTTTGTCAAATTTTGTCAAAATTTTTTAACTACTAAACTGGTAGGTTTTTAATAATAAAAAAAAAAGGTCCTGGTACGTTCACTTTTTGCACCAATAACTGAACATTTCTCTGATGTGTGTTTATTTAGAAATACTCTTCGTTATTGTAGTTTGTCTAGGAATTTTGTGACAATTTGTAAAAGGTGTCACAAAAATTTTCAACATTTTTACAGTTGTGCATTAAAATCTCCATGATCTTGCACAACGCAGACCTAAGAGAAACTGGTCTTTAGTTGCTCGCTTTAAGTCCATTGATTTGTTTAATAATTTGTGGGTTTTTAGATATTTTCCCTTTCGGAAACAACGCTAGTGTTCAGACTAACGCTTAGTGTTCGCTAAAGTTCGGAAACAACGATAGTGTTAATCGAACGTTAAAAAGTTAGTGTAGAAAAAAAATGCAAAGGAAATAAGTAAAAAAAGCTATGAAAAATCTGTTTAAGACCCATAGGTGAATGCCTTCTGCTCCCATTGACTTACTTTTCGTGAGATGGCGTAGTCTTGGCTCGACAGCTATTAGCTTCAACAGCTATGTCTTTTGCTTCAAAAGTAAAATGGCCCTTTGTTTTATTAGTGAATGCAGGTATCTTAAGTGTTTGATATGTGACAAAGACCAACTTGAAGTAGTTGTTTAGAGTATGACAGATAGTTTTCTTGTCAACTGTTGTGTTTTTCTCCATGATATCTAGAGCGTTAATTAGTTCATTAATTCACTTTATACTGCAGACGTATACATGCAGTTTTTTTTGAATCAGGCTTTGAGTTACAAACTAGTTGCTTCTAAAATGTGTATGTAGCCTGTTTGATAATTTTTTTTTACTTCTTTACGTGCGGTTTTGTGTGTTTTATGTAACCATTTTTGAGAGTGGCGCACTGAGGCTCTACATTGGCACCTTTAAATGCGTTTTTTTTTTACGGTTGCTTTGATTTGAGGTAAACCATAATTCTTTTTGGCAATGAATGAAGATGTCGTTAAAGGGATATGTAACTTTATGGCTTTGTATGTAAGGATTAGATAGCAACTGTTTTAGCTGAGAGGCTATCAAACATTGTCTTCCAGTCGTGTGCTGCTATGTGATTTGAAAATGCAATAAAATTAGTTCGGCTCCAAATAAATTGGGTGTAATGAGTAGGCGCGAGAACACTCTTTTAGAGATGACGTTCTAAAAATGTTCAAGTTCTGGACATTTAAGCAGCATCACTATGTTTTTAAGTAAATAAAAGCACATAAAAAGTGTAAATTTTTAATTTATTATCAGAGGATTTCGTAAAGCTTCTTGTTTGGACAGTTTGATCAAAGAAGAGGAGAATGTATTTTATTTTTACTTTGTTAACTAAACTTCAGTTATTTTTTTAAAACTATAAACTCATTTATCAGTGTTTTACGATTTTTTTTTTCTTTTTGACCCACCCATATTACTTTCTTTAAATGAGACATAAAAAATAATGAAGTATATTGATTGATATTTATTAGAACAAAGTATAAATACATGTTCTAAAGGACACGAAGGCCCATACAAAGATGGACACTAACAACGTGCCCAAAGAAATTTAAAAATATCGCTACAAAAAAACATAACAAAACTATAAAGAAACAAATAGTTGTTCCTTTTACAATAGATATTTGTTAAAGTCGAATGATTTAATTTTATTTTTGAACGTTAAAATATTATTTGCATTTACAGCCTCCGAGGTCATATTGTTCCACATGTCAACAACTCGATAAGAAAAGCTATATTTTCTTAAATCCAAGCGACAAGATTGTTTGCTTAATTTAAAATTATGACCCCAGATGTAGCTGTTATTGTCAATCGCAAAGAGCATAGATTGATCAGTACAGACAAGTTTACGAAAAATTTTAAAATATCAAACAAAATTAAATCTTTGAAGTATATCAAACAACAACAAACAAACTTTACAAGTACATAAAGTAGTATAAAAAGCTGTCTTTTCCATAATGAACGGTATTAAACTGTGTCAATAAACAAAATGCTGAATAACAATATTTTGTTTAAGTAAGCACAGAAACAATTTTATTGCATTTAGTGGTGTAATTTTATTTTAAAAATTGAAATGCAAAAAAGTAAACACTGCGTTGCTCTAAATAAAATTGAAATCGAATCATTTTAAACATTTAGATTCCTAACTTTTTCTTTTAATCTGAAGAAAATTAAGAACCTACTATAATTATATTAACAAAAAATGAATTTAAAAAAATGTTTTTTAATAGTTTTTAACTGCCTTCAAAAACTTTTTTGATTAAGAAAATAAAGAAAGAAAATTAGAAAATAAGTTAATTTCTAACTTGTAAAATAAAGAATTCAAATAAGGAATTCAAAAACATCAAAGAAAACCAGAAGTAAAAAAATGAGCTATAACACAAGAAAATAAACTCGTAAAAATAAACACTCAAAATGAACAATAAAAAAAAAATCGAAATTCAAATATCGCAATGTTTGAATTTCAATTTTTTTATTTTTTTTTATTTTTGTAGTGTTCATTTTTATTTTTATTTACTTGGTTAAATTTTTTTTTAAAGTCAAAAAAATATTGTTGGTTGCATTTTTGAAGAACTTTGCATGAATGTCAATGTTTTTGATAATATCATGTTGGTCCTTCTTAATAAAATCTCTGCTAAAAATAAATTTACTTTCTTACTTTGTGATTACTATATTAATCTGATACAATCAAGTAATGAAATTACGACGTCTGATTTTTTAAACTTTCTTTTTAGAATATTTGCCCTTTAATTCCTTTGCTTACTAAAATAACTGATCACTCTGCTTCAATCATTGATAATATTTTCTCTAATTTAATAACTAATAAAATTATTTAAAAAAAAAATTGACAACTTTTGTTTCTGATCACTTACCTCATTTTTGTATTTGGCCCAGTTTAAATAAATTTACACCACACAGACACAATTTATAGTGTTGTAGTTTTAAAAACTTCAATAAAAAAAACTTCAAGTCTGATTTATCAAAAATTGATGATTTTTAAAGTCCAATGATACTAACTCATCTTTCTGAACGTTTGTTACTAAAATAACAATAATTTTAGATTGTTACACCCTACTTAAAAAAACTAGTATCAAAACTTGAAAACATTAACTTAAACCAATGGTTACAAAAATAATTATAAAATCTATCTAAGTGCGCAATTTTTAAACTAGTTTTAAAATACATTTAAGAGATATAATTATACGGAAACTACATTATTTAAACTTAATAAAAAAATTAATGTAAAGACATTTTTGGGCGAGACATTATCAATTAAATAAATGTCAAAAGTTTTGATAAGTCATCCCCCAACTGTTTTCAAGAAAATGAAACTCATGTAACTGACCCGACTTTAATATCTAAATCATTTAAGTTTTTGTACAAATGTTGATCATAAACTAAAATCCACTATTCATTCATTTTAGGTCAACTATCAAAACTTAAATATCCAATTTATATAGATCACTATTATCTCCAACGTATGCTGCTGTAATTTCATCTCATATATTTAAATTGAATCTAAGAGAATTGTTTAGTCCAAACAGCATTCCCTCAAACAGATTTATAGATTTTAACTTCATAGCTTTTTTTTTATTTATTTAATGAATTAATTTAATGCAGTTATATTTTTGAAAGGAAAACGTGCTTTGTCAAACCGAATGAAATGCTAATATTTTACTATGACAATATTACTTTGTTTATAGAGAGAGTTTTTTTTTTTTTATATATATATATTTATTATTATTTTATGTTAAGTTAAATATTTTATGTTAAGAAAAATATTTACTTTAAGTTAAAAATAAGAACTACTTTAAGTTAAATATAGCAAACTAATTTTACTTAAATTTTTATATTTTAACTTGTTGTAATATTCTATTACATTTTGTATATATGTTTTAACACAGGAACATTTGAATAAGAGAGCGCCAGAACCTAGAATATTAAAGCACGCGGTTTGGCTAAATGAACCCACTGATTCATCAAAGTTAACCCGACCGGTATTAGAAGAAGAAAAATGTTTAGGTTTCCGTGAAATTTTAAAACAAACGAATGAAAGATGTAGACCTAAATAAAATAATAAAACTTGAGTGTATTTTATTTTAATTTTGTGACAGCTAGTAAAGTAAAACAGGGGGTAAAACGGAAAAGTATGAAATAGCTATGACAATGTTTACTTATTTGAGTTTTTTTTAACTTAGGAATAATAGTTTTGCTAATAATTTTTTTTATTTTAAATATTTTTCACTCATAGCAAGTTTTGACGTAGTTGAAACTTGCTGTGAGTGATTATAAAATGTAAAATTGTCTAACTTATTACGATATATTTTATCCAAATCTAAAAAAGTTGACAAATCCAAAAAAGTTGACAATTTAGTTGCAAATTTAACTTTTAAAACTAAATTTTTAACTTTTCATTAAAAAAATTAAAAAAGTTTTTACAAAAAAGTTAGTTCAACTTAGCAAGTATCAAAATTTCACAGACGCATTTCATTTATAGAACTTTTATAAGTCTCTATTCTAGTTGGCAAGAAAATAACAATATAGAAAGTAGGCGGGTGCAAAACAACAATTGAAGTGAGTTGGTAATTTTTTTTTTAATTTTTTTTTTTTTAACTATTTAGAACTTTTATTATTTTATAAGATCATTACAGTAAAAATTATATTTTAAAAACCGTATTTTAAATCCTTCAAAAAATATCCTAGCCACGCCAAAAGCATAGTATATAAGCAGCCGTGGCGCAGTGTTAGCGCACTTGCTTATGAAACAAAAAATCAATGGCCCAACCCCACCTCTGGGCAAAATCTATATTTTGCGCTACACTGCACGATAGAGAATTTTTTTTTTTTTTTGCCGATAATTGCGCCAAACATTTTTGAATTGAAAAATATCTTTAAAAATGTTTTTGTTAAACCATGGAAGTATAAAACAGTTGGAAGTTCATCGAGCCGCAAACATCAAAGCAATTTTAAGTCGTCTCGTGTAACCGACAATTAAAGAAAAACAAGTTTCACTGGATAAAAAAACAAAACTTACTGAAATGATCTTTATTTAAACATTAAAAAATGAATTATTCTAGGGATATGTTGCAAATTATTAACCATTAATAATTGCAATTATTCAACAAAGGTTTATTAAAACTCGGTAATTAAATAGAACTACTTGATTTTAAAAGCATATGTTAGTTTAAGCTTCTTTTCTTGCTTCAAGTCATAACACGATATTTGATAAAAAAGACAATTTTTAAAAAAACTAAAAACAATTTTTAAAAAATCAAAAAAATTGTTTTTTAAGTAACTAAAGTTTAAAGTTTTATTAGCTGTATACGATAACTCCATTCATTATTGTAGTACTCTTTTCATTTAATATAAAGTTTATAAAAAAGTTGTTGTTTGCCGTTACGTTGCGCCATTTTTAATGTTTTACTTGAATATTATTGGCGAACCTTTAAAATACTATATTTTTAAATTATTATAAACGTATCTATTTGCGTCAACGTATAAAGATAAGGCGTTTAAGTACAGTCTTGATGTTGTTTTCTTATTGTTTTTGAAACAAAAGGTTACAAGCATAGTCCCAAAGAGTTTCAATGCAGTTGAACTTCCATCTGTTTTATACTTCCATGGTTAAACTGATTCAGATAATGCCATATTCGCAAAGTATGACGTGCACATAGTTGATTTTGCTTTGGATGTATTCTTCATTATAAAAAATAGTTTTTTAAACTCGCATTTTAGCTGATCTTTATTAAGTGTAATAATTAAAACTAGCAGTAAGCCACAAGTAACACGGGTTATTAGTAATTAAATCCTTAATAAGACATTATTAACTTGATATATTGTCTAAAAATACAATTATCATTATAAGTTTAACTTCTTATCATCAATGTCATTGCTTATAGTTAAACGACATAAAAAAGCTTCATTATTATCAGTTAAGTTCTTTTTATAACTTGTCACAACACAGCAAAAAAGAAAAATAAAGTCAAGTAAAGACTGCCAATACCTAAATAAAGAAACAAAAAAAAGTTACAATTTTCAATTACAAAATTATTATTTACATTTTATTGTTAAAAGAATTACGATAATAATATTACAGAAAATATAAAGAATATAAAAATAGATAAAAGCTTAATTCTATCAACACGAAACACAGTAAAAATAGCGTATAGCAAAATATATTTTTAAGCACAACATAACTATGTATCTCTAGTTTAATTTTTAAAAATAGATTATAAAAAGGCTTGACAATTTAACGAAATAGTAATAACACCACAACTTAACGGGGAAACCTCATCTAATTTTTAAATCAATTTTTAGAAAAAAATAATTTGTCAGATCAATGCCATATATAAAAAAAAAATTAGAAAAAAGTATTTAAAACAATAAAATAGTAACTGTTACTATGAAACCATAAATAAAACATAAAAAACAGTTTTCACGCCGGCCAATATTGTGGACAGGGAACAAAACAACCCTAGTTAAAAATTTTTATATAGTGTTTATATAGAGTAGAAGAGTGTTTTAAGTTAAACAGAATTTTTTTTTTGAAGTCAAAGTCCAATATTCAATAATACCGGCTGTCGTGACTCGTACGATACGGGTCGTGGTAAGTCTAATCCACAACCGACTGTTTCCAAGTTTTGATCTTTACACTTTATTACTTATTTTAGTAAAAGGCAACAAAAAAATTAATTTAAAGTTCTGGTAGTTTGTGAAATGCTAATTTTTTTGCAAACCTTAAATCTGTTCCTTGTTAAGTTAAAATTTATTTAAAAGTAAACAGTCTAATTTAAATAAAATGTATCGAATACCATTATATTTAATTTAAAAAATTGATACGCAAATGTTTTAAATATCATAACTGCTGCTCATAACGGCTCGTTAAAATGTCTTGGTTCGCTAAAAAAGTACCCAGTTTGCATTTTACTAACCAGAGTTCTTGCCTTCTGGATAATTTTTTATCTACTATAGTTTAAATCTATTTAGTATTTTTACTTATTACTTTTTTACCTTAATATTCTCTACATAATAAAAGTATCTTTAGCATATAAGACAGTTGAAAAAAAAATTCTTCAGGCTATGATAATAATATTTTAACACTCTCATAAGGATTTATTTAAAAAGCAAATTTGAACATTGAAAAATGGGCCCAAGAGACCTAGTTATTTCAAATTTAGCTTTATCTGTTTGATATTTTTTATAAAAGCCTTTCTGTAAAAAAACTCTTAACAATTTTATACAATTAAACTCTTTTTACTGTGAAATTAGGCTAAAAATATTTTAAAGCTGTTGTTTGTGCAGTCGATACTTAATAAATAAACACTACTTACTTAATAAATTAGCAGTTCTGCTACTGCATCAAACATGGTATCTTTAGCAACCTTTTGTGTGAAAGCACCTATTTTCACAGGTAATTTGTTATAATTATTTTGCATCGCTGTGAAATATTCTTTAAAGTAGAAATATTTTTATACCAGAATGTCCCTGTCTTAGTGCAGCGATTGCGTTCTTAAATTAATATCATATTCTGTAACATTGTTTTAAAATTAAAAACTCATTTTTATATTTACAGTTACATTAATTGAAAAGTAACTTTGAGGCAAATCTTTTTTTGTCTTGCATTTTTTTGGCAAATGACAAGGATGAACACTTGCCATATTGAGGACATGCTAAAGCACTAAATATGTCAGATACTACAAAGCAATCTATAATACTATATCCAGATATTTTTGTTCTTGTAAAAGCTCTAGAATATTGAATCGGCTTTACCTTTGTAGATACAGAAAATAAATTTAATTCAGATTCGTTATTTACAGAGTTATTATTGACATTTGTAGTATTTGAATTAATCAAAATTGTTACAGCGGAATTATCGTTCAACACCATTTCAGTATTTTCGTTGTCAAGACTGTTAAATTTCTTCCTGTAGAAACCTCTCCTCATCCTTTTATTTAATTATTGTTCTTGATTTTGTTTTATATGCTTACTCATTTTTAAAAAAAAATTTTAACTGACAATTTTAAAAGCTTCAAAATAACAGAAACTTAAAATTTAACTAAATAAATCATACTTTTTTTGCTTGCTGGACAAGTAAATAAGCCAAAATAAGTATTTTACTGCAGCTATTCAAAATAGACATTAGTTATTATGGTTTTTAACTAGGTGTTACACCGTTGCTCTGGACATTGCTAGTGTATAAATTTTAAAAAAAATTCAAAATTTGTAGGAAATAATAATGAAAATTAATAAATAAACAAATAATTTTAAATTTTGCATACATTAAAATGCATAAATAAGTGAAAATATTTTTTATAAATTTTAAGTAAATTTAGAGAGGGTTTCCCCCTCATTAAGTTAAAAAGTTTAAAAATTACAAATGTTGTAATAAACTTAAAAGACTTTATTTATCACAATATTTGAGCAATTGAGAGACAACTAAAGTTTACCAACTTTAACAATTATATTATAAAATAGCAAGCAACTTGTAGAATATTTATCATACATGGTCGCTATTAATTATGTTATTAAGAAATAGGTAAGAGCTGAGTAATTATATATATTTTATTAATTTTCGCTGTCCTAATTCTCATTTAAGTCTCATCAAAAATAAAGAGGAAGAGAAGGAAAGTGTTTCCAAGCAGCATGTTAAAAAAAGTAAAAAAGACAAACAATAAGTAATAGTGGTTTTATAATGTTTTCAGTAAACAAAATTATTTTTACCATAACTAAAAGGTAATTTCTAGCACTATTTAATAAGCAGACCAGCCTTGAACCCCTTTTTTACCAATTAGGCTGGCTTAAATATTATTCTTTGTTACAATGTTTTCTGCTTAGGATGATGAATGCTGGATCTTCTTGATTTTTCTCATAGGTATTCGCTTGTGCCTTCTTGATAGTAGCTATGCAACTCATCCTGTAATCTCCTAATGAGAGTACAGCTCAAACACTCAGTTTAATGGTTCTGAGGCCGGTTGGTAGTAAAGTTTCCTAAATTCTAACTCTCTGAGAAGCTGATTCCATCAACAGCTACATAGTATCAGAATATTAACAGCGCTATGTTGTGCATGGTGTCTCTGTTAATGATTTTGGTGTGCATTATCGAGGCCACATAAGGAGCCCTACGTTACAACTTAGGGTTAATTGACAGGAAAACTTAATTTTTTTAGTTTAATTAGTTTACTTTTTTTAGTTCCAAATACCGTCACAAAAACCATGCGTGAAATATAAATAATCAGATAATTTCAAAAAATGGCGTTTATTCATTAATTTACGAGCAGTGTTGCGTTAAATAAGTAGCCCGTTAAATAAGTAGACAAAATACTATATTTGCGCATACGGATACTTATTTAATGTCTATAAGGGTTACATTGTTACAATGTTATTTTAAAACCATTTTACGGTTTATCTATAGCATTAGTAGTTAATAAAAATAGATTTAAAAAATTTAGGCACAATTAATTTTTCTATAACAAAAAAAAACGTACAAATGGCTGGAAACGAAACCGCATATTTTGCAATTTGTAACTTGTATTTAAAATAACATTTTTTTTTGTTTTAATATTGGTAACGTTGTTTTATATGCATAAGTTTTTTTTAATATAAAAAAATATATAATATAATAATCAATTATTGTAAATATCATTGATTTATTTAAAATGCTTTAGCAGAACGATATATCTTTTGAAGAGGAGCAGTTCTGCAAAACTTTTTACATATCATTTTGCATATCCTTTGTAACATTTAAAAATTTTATGAAAACATAATACCATTAAGCTTTTTGCGTATACCTGAATATTTCTGACATACATAATATTAAAAGTTACTTGAATTAAATAAAGACTTGTCACTAAACGTTTTGTTTGGTTGAGCAATTTTTGTTTACGTATGCGCTCTTTATCTAATTTTTATTTTTCAGTTATATGTTTACATTTAAATTAAAAGGAACATGATTTTACATATTTTTTATTTAAAAAGTGGTTTTAAACTCAAATTCAAAACATAAAACTAGATGCGCATTTTTTTAGTATCAACACTGGTATATAAAATGTTATCAATACTCTTGCTATTTACGTTAACATATGTGTCGGCTTGATACATATGTACATGCATACATAGTAATAGTAATAGTAATCACGGTCGTTTAGATATTAGTAAAAAGCGCTATGTTTAGGTACGCATGCGTTAGAAAATACGAAAAACCTTTGAACTTTTAAAATGGCTACGGTACTTAACTACAGAGAATATTTTATATGGAAACAGATTATTTAATAACTAATTTCTGAAAGTTCAATGATGTCGCCTTATGTTTAACGTGAATCAATAAAAAAATATAAAAAATTTAACAAAAAAAAAAATAATAAATAGAGGTAACAAAAATCTTTGGGCGTTTGAACTTTATTTTTAATTAATACCTTTTTAGTGTAAATCGTACACTTTGTTGAAGCCTATTTGGCTTCCCGCGAATAATCTATTGGTTATAACTATTTCCCGCAGTGCATTGCGCTTAAGCCATGCTCTCATGCTAGTTGTATATTATATATTGACCTTACTAACTTACAACTCTTCTTACTATTTAATATATTATTGAAACTCACATAGTAGTTATTTCTTAGTGTTCAAATTATATAAAGTAAACCGTTGAGTAGATTTAAGTACTCAATATTTGGAGCCCACGGAGATATTTGTTGCTGATCCTAAAGTTATCAGCTATCGTTCAAGTTTGTTGCTGATCCTAAAGTTATCAGCTATCGTTCAAGTTTATTGCTGATCCTAATGTTATCAGCTATCGTTTAAGTTGCTGTTGATCCTGAAGTTATCAGCTGTTTTAAAGTTGTTGCTGTTCTGAAAGTTACCAGCTGTTATTAAATTTCGTTGCTGATTCTCAAGTTCGAACAAAGATTAAAGTTTGTGAGAAGATAAAGTTGAAGTTAAGTAATAATTGATATTGTACTTGTTTTTTGGGTCAATCCTTTTTTTTGGGGGTTGTTTAATGCACGTGTTTTTATTAGCATTAAAAAATTATATATATTTGTAATTTATTTGTGTTTGTGTCAGAATTGACCATAGTTTTTTTTAAGTAAGCATTATTTGTTGTTGACATTTATAGGGTTTTTATATAATGTCGAGTATTGCTGGAAAACGACGTGTTCGTACCATTACGGTCACTGCTTGTAAAAATATATTTGAAAGGGCCAATGAGTGTATGACTAATTTTAGCCAGGATAGTAACTCTTTTGAGGAACTATCTAGTTTTAAGGAAGTTTTGATCGAAAAATATAATAAAGTTAAAGCGATTGATGATGATTTGATCAATTTAATTGAAGATGATGAGGAATTGTTAAATGAAGAGAATTTAGCTAATGAGTTTTCTTTATTTTTCAAAAAGAACATAAAAATAATTGAAAAATTTAATAATAATATTTATAAAAGTATTAACGAGTCGCAATCTAGCAGTTTAAAAAGTTTTTCAAATAATAACATTAAACTTCCACCTTTAAAATTAAGTACCTTTAGTGGAAAGCCAGAGGAATGGCAGACCTTTTATAAAAATTTTGAATGTGCCATCCATAATAATAATGATCTTTCCCCAATACAAAAGCTTAACTATCTAAGAAATTTACTTGACGGGAAAGCTTTGAAAACAATTTCAGGCTTAGCATTAACAAATGACAATTATCATACATCATTGGAGTTACTTAAGGAAAGATTTAATGATAAACAACTGTTAATTTCGACACATATGAAGTCACTTCTATCTCTAGAGAGAGTGCAAAGTATTAACAACATTTCTTCATTAAGACGTATTCATGATAATATCGAAGTTCAAATTAGAAGTTTAGAAAACTTAGGTATAGATTCAACTATGTATGGACCTTTATTGATTCCTATTATAATGCAAAAAATTCCAGAGGAGTTAAATTTGATTATTGCTAGAAACTTCGATTCCTGTGATTATTGGGATATAAAATATGTTTTAAAATCTTTAAAAGCTGAGTTGCAAGCTAGGGAAAAAGCTCACTCAGGTAGAGAGTGTAATTTTGATCCTTCAACAGCAGAAGTATTACATTCTAGTGCTTCCTTTAAGCCACAATATGAATTAAAATGCATTTTTTGTAGTAAAAGTCATAAAAGTGAAAGTTGTAAAACTGTAACAAATATAAATTCAAGGAGAAATATTTTAAGAGATAAAAGGCGTTGCTTTAATTGCCTCAAATCAGGTCATATGTCTAAAGATTGTCGTTCTAGAATAAGCTGTTATGAGTGCTCAGGGAAGCATCATATTTCTATGTGTTTTAAAAAGTTTCCTTTGCATATTGATGATAGTAAAGAATCAAACAATAAGTTAACGTCTGTTGCTACTACAGAAGCATTGAAATCTAAGAATGTATTGTTACAAACTGCTATGGTTACAGTAAAGAATAAAGATAAGACACTAAGGTGTCGCCTTTTATTTGACAGTTGTTCTCAGCTTAGTTATATTTCGCCATCATTACGAAAGAAGCTCTTTCTACCCACATTAGGTAGAAAGCAATTAAATATTAAAACTTTTGGAAATCAGAGCCAAACCCAGACCTTAGAGATGGTTAAACTTTCTATACTGACTTTAAAGAATTCCTTAATACCTATAACTTGTTTTGTTAAGCCCATATGTGCCCCTCTTAGTGGTCAGTATATAGAGGAGGCTGTCGATTCCTTTGAACATTTAAAAGGAATCAATTTAGCTGATAGTAATGTAGATTGCAAATCATTGGAAGTAGATGTACTTATTGGAGCGGATTATTATTGGTCATTTTTTAATGGCAAGGTAATTCGCGCCAATACAGGTCCTGTTGCTTTACAATCATCAGTTGGTTATATATTAAGCGGAAATGTAAATGCATCATCTGGAAAAGATTGCTCTGTCTTTTCCACACATACTTTAAAAGTTGAGACGGAATTCATTAATGAAATTCCCCAATTTAATGAGAATATTAAGAAATTTTGGGAACTAGAGAATTCAGGAGTGGAAGATAATATTTTTGATCATTTTAAAAGTAATATTTATTTTGATAATAAAGAGTGTAGATATACAGTTAAATTACCATTTAAAAATAACCATGCATTATTGAGCGATAACTATAGTTTATGTATAAAACGTCTGAATGTAATTCTTAATAAATTAAAAAATGATTCTGAGCTATTAAATGAATACAATAAGATAATTATAGAGCAATTAAATTCAGGGGTAATAGAGAAGGTAAATAATTATGATTCGAGTATTGGTGAGGTGCATTACTTGCCACATCGCCCAGTATGTCGTAAAGATAAAACTTCAACAAAAGTGAGAATTGTTTTTGACGCAAGTTCCACTCTATCGGGTCCATCATTAAATGATTGTATAAATGCTGGACCAAGTTTAGCTACACCTCTATTTTTTATATTACTACGTTTTCGTGCTAATAAATATGCCTTTATTGCAGACATAGAGAAAGCATTTTTGCAGATTGCCCTTGATAAAAATGATAGAAATTATTTGCGTCTAATATGGTTTGATGATATTTATAATATTAATAATAGTAATTTGTTTTCATCTGCATTGGCTACTTATCGTATATGTAGAGTGCCTTTTGGTGTTACTTCGTCTCCATTTCTCCTCAATGCCACATTAATTTATCATGCTGAGAGATATTGCCTTAATGATAATAATATTTCCTCAAAGTTGTTGCAATCCTTGCATATAGACGATTTGATTTCTAGCTGTGTTACCATTGAAGAAGGTATTTTATTTTTTAATAAATGTAAAGACATATTAAAAGAAGGAGGTTTTAACTTAAGAAAGTTTGAGTCTAATTCTTCAGCCTTTGAGAAATAAATTAACGGTGACAATTATGAGAGACAAACGAATACAAGAGTTTTAGGCCTTAAATGGAATAAGACAGAAGATTCAATAATTTATTCATTTGAGGATTTATTAAAGGTAGCCTCAATAGTTCCAACAAAGAGAGAAGTGATGAGTTTTATTGCCAGTATTTATGACCCAATAGGTCTTATTAATCCAGTAGTTGTAACTTGTAAAAATTTATTTCAAAGGATTTGTGTTTCTAAGTTAGGTTGGAATGAAAATTTGTATGGTGATTTATTGTCTACTTGGAATCTTATTTTAAGTGATTTCAAATCTGTTTTTCAAATAGCAGTACCTCGATGGTATATGAGTCCTGGGTTGGGTAATATAAATAATGTAAAATTTGAATTACATGGTTTTTCTGATGCAAGTGTTAAGTCGTTTGGGTGTTGTGTTTATCTTAGATTTTTTAATGCTAATTTTAGTCGTGCCTCTTTGATAGCCTCGAAGTCTAGGGTTGCCCCATTAGGCAAAAACACAATGCCTCGATTAGAGCTTTCTGCAACTTTACTTTTAGCAAAGCTATTAGCATCTATTTACGATCAATTGATATCTATTTATAACATTTCAAATATAGTATATTGGACTGATTCAACAATTTGTTTGCATTGGATTTTTAATACTAATAATACCTATGAACAGTTTGTACAAAATCGTTTAAATAAAATAAGAGAATTGACTTTAATTTGTAATTGGAACTATATTGAATCCTTTAGGAATCCTGCAGATATAATATCACGAGGATCTTCGCTTAAGAAATTAAATAATAATGAACTTTGGTTTTATGGACCCAATTTTTTAAATGATATTAATATTAAATGGCCATATTATGAACATGTTAATCATTCAAATGAAACACTTGAAGTTTTGTGTAATGTGGTACATGTTAAGGTTAATGTTAATCTTGACTTTATTAATGTTGATAAATTTAGTGATTTTAGGTATTTACTTCGAGTAACATCGTGGATTCTTCGGTTTATCAATAATGCGAAAGATAAAAAGAAGAACATCTTCAAGACTGGTTTAATTACAGCTGAAGAAATAGATAATGCAAAGCGGTTGTGGATTAAATTTTCACAGATAAATCTAATCGATGAGAATAAATTTAAACAATTACGAAAAGATTTACGTTTATTTGTTAGCGATGGTATATATCGATGTCGTGGCAGAATTGAACATGCTGATTTAGAATATGATACAAAGTTTCCTATTTTTATTTTCAATAACTGTTATTTTGCTAAATTATTAATTTTACATTTTCATAAGCTTGTCAAGCACAATGGTGTGAAAGAAACAATTAATGCTTTAAGATCCCAGTATTGGATACCTTGTTGTAGGCAGTTAGCAAAGAGCGTGATACGAGAATGTACAACTTGTCGACGTATAGAGGGTAGGCCTTATTCATACCCACCTGCTCCACCTTTGCCTGAAAGTCGTTTAAATTCTGATTTCGCCTTTAAAAGTATTGCTTTGGATTATGCTGGTCCGCTGTATATTAAAGATATTTATGGCGCTTGTACGTTGAATAAAGCATGGATTTTCTTATTTACATGTTGCAGTAGTCGTTTGATTTTATTAGACTTAGTAGCTGACTGTTCATCTAGATCATGCATTATGGGTATCCGTAGATTTATTGGAAGACGGGGTGTTCCAGAAATTATTTATTCAGACAATGGTTCACAATTTGTTTCAACTGAAACTCAGTACTTTGCTGCAAACCATTCTATAAAATGGAAGTTTAATGCGCCTTCGGCACCGTGGTGGGGAGGGATGTTTGAGCGACTAGTACGAATGACTAAAAGATGTTTGAAGAAAGCCTTAAAGAATTCGAAGTCTTCTTATGAAGAAGTACGAACGTTGCTTTCTGAAATTGAAATGGTACTAAATAACCGACCATTAACTTATTTGTATAACAATCAAGGTGATGAAGCACTCACACCTAATCACTTAGTTTTTGGACATAAGCTTAAGCTTGAATCAAGTCTTAGTGCTTGTAATGATATAGAACAAGATGTGCATATACGAAACAGTATGTTATCGAATACATTGAATCATTTTAGAAGTAGATTCAAAAGTGAGTACTTGACAGAGTTGCGTGAATATCATAAATCAAAGCGGAGTAATGGATGTAATGGTATTCGTGTTAATGACATTGTATTAATTGAAAATGATAACTGTAAAAGACAATTATGGAAATTAGCACGTGTTGAAGAATTGTTATATTCAAACGACGGAGTTGTTCGCGTTGCTAAAGTTTGTTACAAACAAGAGAATGGTAGTTCGTGTTTAATTACTCGACCCATTAATAAACTATATCCTACTGAATATTCAGACAATGAAAAAATAGTAACTGTTGCCTTTATTAACGAGAAGAATATTCCTTTACTTGTAAATGGTGGCCGGGAGTGTTGAAGCCTATTTGGCTTCCCGCGAATAATCTATTGGTTATAACTATTTCCCGCAGTGCATTGCGCTTAAGCCATGCTCTCATGCTAGTTGTATATTATATATTGACCTTACTAACTTACAACTCTTCTTACTATTTAATATATTATTGAAACTCACATAGTAGTTATTTCTTAGTGTTCAAATTATATAAAGTAAACCGTTGAGTAGATTTAAGTACTCAATACACTTGTTTATTTGATTGAAATCAATTTTCTAAAATTTTCAATATATTTTTTTTAAACTTCAGATAAATATGTTCCCTATAAATGATATTTTTCTAGTCAATGCTTCAACTTGTTTTCCATATAAAAATTTGTTTTACTGTTATGACTATTTCCTTATATATCAAAGTGCAATTTCATTAATTATTTTGTTAATTATTATTTTTCTGAACATATATATATATATATATATATATATATATATATATATATATATATATATATATATATATATATATATATATGTATATATATATATATATATATATATATATATGTATATCACTTTGTTACATCGGTATATCTTTTCACTATGTTATATGAAACTTTCACTATGAAATTTGTGAATGACAAGCATTAAAAATAAACACTTTATTCAGTTAAAACAACAACAAAAATTATTTCCAGAAAAATTTTGAGTTTACATTAGATAACTTGATAGAAAAAACTTCTATATGTGTATATATTAATATTGCCAGGCTTTGATATTTTATTCAATTTTTCTTAAAATTTTACATTTGAAAAAGGAAGTTAGGGGATGGGGGTTGTTCTTTCTGTCAGTCAGGTTTTTTATCCCAGAAAAGGCAAACAATATTTAATTTTAAAACACTCTTTAGTTAGTGAAAATCACTAAGTCCTTTTTTTATTTTAAAAAAAAATTAAGTATGAATTATTCGGAATCTAAATTTGTGAATAACTCTTGCTTTAAATACAGTGTTATTTTATCTATTTATTTTTTATTTTTCTTCTCAAGGTATGCCATATAAAATTTACATTTATTATCGTGATAAAAAGAAAATATACGTACAAAATTATTACGTTTCAGATTGATAAAAAACACTTTAATATAATATTTATACATTAATATAGTATTGATGCAAACTTTAATATAAATTCTGGTATAATTACTGTTACATATATATATATATATATATATATATAATATATATATATATATATATATATATATATATATATATATATATATATATTGTACTTTAATACCAAAAAAATCAAAGAAGAATCAGCATTTTCGAGTATAAAACTCCAAGAAAATCTTTTCGCAGATTTCCTTAATTTGTAAGTCCTCTTCTTTTCTTCCTGAAATTTTTTTTTTAAAAATACATTTCACAGGTCTATTAAAGAAAAAAAAGCAATGTATATGTAAAGAGATCCTTTACCAATATCTTCTTTTCTTTTTAACAAAATTTAAGGTAGATAAAAATTAGTACAGCTTACAATATTAATAAGATAATATTAATAAATTTTTTTATCAAAATAATACATCTTTTAAAAAATATTAGTAATAATAAAAAAAAAACATCTTGCACACCACAATAATAATCTTCAAAATAATTTGTAGCACCTTTAGGCAAACAAAGTAAATATTATTATTTTAGAATGTGAAAAATTATATAAAACAAAAGTAATAATTGCATTTAACAGAGATAAATTCAAAATCAATAATAAATACTAAACTTACAAAATTCTTCAACTTCTGAAGGCATAATTTATGCTTTATTTTCTATTAACTAAAATCATGGCGCTCTATACCGAAGGCCTATTCATAGCGCAATATATTGGCAAGTGTGTTGCAATGTTTTTAATTAATTTCAAAATAGTAAAATTCAGAAACCAGCAAAAATGTCACTTAAAGATTTACGGCAAACTTTATATTTTATTGAATGGAATAAGGCAAAGCAAAAAAAAAAACCTATTGGCAAACATTGTCTGGTGGAATTTTAAGACCACCACGATCTATAGACTTGAGATACTCACCAAACTTTTCATAATAAAATATTGTTTGGTTGAACAAATTGTTTCCATTATATTCATTATATTATTTTCATTATATTCATTCAGCAATATAAATCAAAGACATTTTGGTAGTGTCTGAAATTGATAACTCTAGTTATCAATAATAAAAAAAAATCAATAATAAAAAAAAAAAAAAATTGATAACTCTAGTTATCAATAATAAAAAAAAATCAATAATAAAAAAAAATCAATAATAAAAAAAAATCAATAATAAAAAAAAATCAATAATAAAAAAAAAAAAATTGATAACTCTAGTTATCAATAATAAAAAAAAATCAATAATAAAAAAAAAAAAAAAAAAAAAAAAATTAAAAAAAAAAAAAAAAAAAAAGTTTTTCTAAATTGTCAAGTATTTCACAACCTGCTTTACATAAAACATATGTACAAGAAATCAAAAGAATTTATGTCGATATCAAAAGAATTTATGTCGATATTCAAAGATAATAACAGTGATGTGTGATTTATATGCAATTTTTCTATAATTTGTTGAACATTTAAAAAGTAGGCACCTCCGGAGCCTTGTCTCAATTTCCCAAATTCTCTTTCTAAGTGGTTACTTGTAAACATACCAAGAAGAACGTAATCATGACTTGTTGCTAATAAATATTTACATAGTTCGACAATACCATAGCAAGTATGGTGAATTTATTTTGCAGTATCATTAGATAACTGCTTTACTCTTTTGCCATTTTTACAACACATTTCGAGAGCCATATCACCAAACTGAAGTAAAGTATTTAGAGGGGAATCATCAGGACTACAAATAGGTGCTTCTAGTGGTCATTGTGTCTTACATCAGCTCCACAATCTATTACATTCAAAATTTTCCACCAGATTATTACTTTATTTATAAATATTGCAGTATTCTTAGAATTTGAAATTATTTGAGAATAGGTCAGCAATGCATGATATGTCTTATCTGAAAAAACTTTAAGGCAAGTAGATACATTTTGCCTTTCAATTGGCTTGGGAGCTATTGCAATTTCATTAAAGTCTGACAACTTGACTAACTTTACTGATTCTAATTGATATAAGCATTTAACGTTCTGCCATTTAGCTGTTCTTTGAATACCATTATCATTGTACACTAGTTCCCCAGTTTTTTCTGAAAGCCATAGATTTCTAATGTTTTTCAAAAGATAAACAAAGTCAAACAGTAAATACATCCCATCTTCCGTTTTCCAAGGTTTTTATGGATTAGTACGACATAATTTAAAAAATGCTTGGTTTACACATCACAGTTACCACAGATACCAACTTTTCATCACAGATACCAACTTTTACATCGCCAGATGATGATTTTATAAGTTTTATGCTGGAGTTTATTTGTTCAAAAAGAAAATTTTAACTTAATTTTGAAATTGAAATCATCTTTTACAGAAATTTTGGACCACCTTTGAGACATACTATCATAATTCCTAACACAGTTTTAGCCAATAATGATGGATCATCTGAAGATTTACCAAACAATGTTCCACCATGGTAAAGCATCATTTTTTTGACATATACTTCATCATGAATAATTATACAAATGTTTTGTTTTTCTTCAACTTTTTTCTTCAATTTTTTTCTTCAATTTCAGTTTTTGAAAACAGAGTCTAAGTAACTAGCATCATCAATTTTGCTAACTTTTGATGTTATTCGTGTCAAAGTACTAACTGATGGCGTTTGAAAATCGTTTCTTAGTTTATTGTATAAAGAGCGAGGTGTTGAAAAATATTCAAAACTACTTATAATAGTATCTGATTCATTTTTTTTTTTCCAATAAGCTTTGCAGACATAACTGATATTTGTTGCTGAATAATGTTTTTCTTATGATCTATTTCCATGACATTCAAAAAATGTAGTATTTTCTCAAACTTTGACCAAGTATCAACAATATTTATACGATTTTTACACAAACTTTTTATAAAACATTTTATTCCACAATGAAATGTTTCAAAATGTAAATTCTCAAAAATTTTAACAAGAAATAAAGTAACACCATCACAAAACCTTATAGATTGAACGTTTACTTTTTTTCAATCATAAATTTTATTACTGAAACTGAAAAAACCCTGAGATTATTTAATAAAATTTTTTTAAAATTTGCTGTATCAGCCAATAAAAAATGCTGCTGTATCAGCCAATAAAAAAGTGCTAAGTTCATCAGTTCTGACATTTCTAACAACGCTCAAAGATCTCTGTATTGTGCGATGAGGTGGCAATGGAGTAGGTGTTTGTTTTGAAGATATTCCAGGCCAAACAGATGGTAGCATTTTTGGTATTTGTTTTCCTTGAACAGTAAATTTTTTTAAAAATTGTTGGCCAATGTAATTGGCAAATAACAGTTTCATCTGAAACTAAAAGATTAAAATTCGGAATACTTTTTATCCAAATATTTCTTTGTTCTTTATTTTTAGGAAAACGATAAACTGGTATTTTTCCAAAGCTTTTATTGTTTTTGGTAGTTTGATAATAAGTTTTGCAGCCATATACGCAACACTTTTTTGACATCTATAAAGTATAATTATTCAAAAGAATATAAAAATATGCAAACTATAACATAAAATTTTCAAACACTTTTTGTCAAATATAAAATATAAAATTAAATGATCACTACCCATATCATTCATTATGAATGTATATATATATATATATATATATATATATATATATATATATATATATATATATATATATATATATATATATATATATATATATATATATATATATATATATATATATATATATATATATATATATAATAATAATAATAATAATAATAATAATAATAGAGTTTGATTATTTGAAAAAATACAACTTTTTGATGGTACTTGAAGTTTCATGCCCTTCGGCAATCATCAGCCATATATTATATTCTTTTAAAATAAGAAAAACCGTTAAAAAATACAAAATACAAAAATTAACAGAAAAAACAAT